GTACCCACCCCCTGATCTGTGACCCCACGATCTGCTGAACTCCCTTCCTCAGCAGCAGCAGCTCTGTCCTCCCAAGTGCTCAGACCCCCAAACTGGGAGCCATACTCAGCTCAGCCTTGTCATCCACCACACTTCAGCACATTTCCTTGATTCTCCCCTCAAAATATAGCCAGAATCTATGCCCTCTGACCACCTCCATGGTTTCCTCCCTAAACCTGGCATGTCCCTGCTCCCCACAGCAGCCACAGGAAATCAGGTCATGCCTTTCTCCTGCTCCACATTCCTTCATGGCTCCCATGTCCCTTGAAGCAGGCATGGCTCTCTTAGTCCTGGATGGTCTGCCCCAGTCGCTACCCTTCCTTTCCCTCCATTCCAGCCTTATGGACCTCTTCAGACCCACTCCTACCTCAGGGCCATTACACTGGCTGTTCTTTCTGTCTGAACACTCTTCCCCCAGAGGGTTCCTTCCCTCACCTTCTTCTCAGACCGCTGCTTTAAAATTGCAATCCCAGGAGAACAAACAAAATGGCGGATCGGGTGGAACTGCAGTAAGGAGCTGTGTTGGCAACAACACAGAATACAGGACCAAGCAGTCTCAGGGGATGGTCCCAGAACTCTGAACCATATATAAAGGAATATTTAGAAGGTTGGAAGGCTTACAGCTAGGGGAATGTGTAGCAGAAGCAAGAAATCCAATGCTTTCTAATCCAAGATGCTCAGCTGCTCCAGAGGCCGCCATCTTGGTGAGTCCAAGCGGGAGAAGGATCAGAGCAGCCACAGACGCCTGACAGAACCGCGGAGATAAAGGTGTGGACATTCTTCTCTTTTGGTATCTTTTCATTGGTCCCTTGCTGTCTGCGCACCTCCATTCTGTTGACTATAGGGGTGCCTGAGCTAGTGGGCACCCCAGCCCCACCCTCGGAAAGTTCTACTACACATGCGCACAGATCTCCTCGAAATTTAAAGAGACAGTTTCCACTTAAAACCAAATGGCCACAGCCAACCCTGAACTGTTTATAACTAGAAAAAAGGCCTGAACGGGGACTGTGGAGTGGGACAAGTAGACAAAAAAGGAAATATGCCGAAAATTAAATCCTAAATTATGTCACAACGACCAACAGTGGCATCTTGAAATTTCTTAAAGAAGAGTGGAAAGGGAAGCCCATTTCCTGATCACATCTACCTGGAGGCAATCAGAAAGCGTAAAAAATACCAAAAATACATACCCATCTAAGTATTAAGGCCACAGATAACTCCTGAATATGCCCCCCAAAAAAGAAGCAGATGACCATATCTGCACATGTCCAGAAATGAGATAAACTGACTGAAGCAAATGAGCTGGAATTAGACCTACACTCCATACTGGAAGATGGGCAGGCTTTGGAAATGCCTGAGAAGGAATTCAGAAAAATGATTATAAAATTTATCAAAACACTACACAATGGAGTTGAGAAAAATAAGGAAGAAGTCAGAAAGGCACTACAGGAACAATCAAATAAGATAAATACAGCAATGGAAACAATTCAAAACCTACAGAAAGAGGTCCAAATGATTAATAATAGAATATCAGAAGTAGACAACACACTGAAAGAGCAAAGGAGGAGAATTGAAGAGATAGAAGCCAGAACTGGTGAGCTAGAAGATGAATCTCTCAACACTACTAAGATAGAAGAACAAATACAAAAAATGATTAAAAAATCTGAAGAAGGCCTAAGATTCATGCTGGACAACATGAAGAGGAATAACATAAGAATAATTGGCATTCCAGAACAGGAACAATCACACAAGTCCACAGAGGAGATAGTTGAAGAGCTTCTGAAAGAAAAATTTCCTAACATCCTGAAAAGTGAAAATATAAGCATTCAAGAAGCTCAACGAACCCCAGGATGGATAGACCTAAAAGACAATCACCAAGACATAATAATCAAGCTCTCCAAAATCAAAGATAAAGACAGCATCTTGAAAGGATCTAGGGAAAAGAGAAATATAACATACAAAGGTAAGCAAATCAGATTAAGCTCAGATTTCTCAACAGAAACCATGAAGGCAAGAAGGCAATGGGGAGACATATATAAAACCCTGAAAGAAAAAAACTGCCACCCAAGAATCCTCTACCCAGAAAAGCTGTCAATCAAATATGATGGTGTCATCAAAACATTCCAGGATAAACAGAAGTTAAGGGATTTTGCCAAAGTCAGCCCTGCTATGAAAAACATCCTAAAGGAAGTTCTGTGGACTGAGAACCAACAAGAACACACAACTACAGAATGACTTACGTGGCAGCATCAACCTGAACTCAGTCGACAAATGGAAGAATCAAGAATAGAATAAAATTATAAGAACAGAGGATCTGGGAG